GAAAATACATATAATTACTTAAAAAGATTAAAAATATATTTTTATTTATAAATAATTAAGTATAGTCTTAATTGACGATAAAAGAAATATCAAAGATGATACAAACATGCTAAAGAACGTATATATGCTATAAATAAAATGTGTGAGACAATTAGTATCAATGATACAAGAAAAAATAATAATAAAAATGTTTCAGATGACTTCACTAGAGATTATAAATAACGATTAAAATAATTCAAATCATGTTATTTAGTTGAAAATATATTAGCACAATATAACTCTATTAATATTATACAGTGACTCGATTCAAAATATTATTTTAATCTCATCGAAATATTCATTCTCCATTCTTTTCCCCCCACCCAAGCTTCATCTAATCTTATCTTGTAAGATCGTTTGTAATTTTGATCATAGATTATTTAAGTCTTTATGATTTATTCATATCTAAAATAATTTTTATATTTTAAAAATATAGTATATAACAAATATTAGAATCTGTGACATACTGACTTATAATAAATTATTAATATAATAATATATATAATTTAAGTTTAAAAAAATCTATTTTAGCCTATGTGATTTTTTGTTATGGAGCACTTAAGTCCTTATTATTTTGTTTATATTTAAAATAACTCTTATATTTTTAAAAATACAACATATAAGCTCCTCTTGTCAAATTTGAGTTAATAGACATTACAATCTGCTTATACGATATCCTGACTCATAATAAATTATTAATATAATGATATATATAATTTAAGTTTAAAAATTAAGTATGTCTTATCGAGGAAGAGGAAGCGATGGAAGCTGCAGTGACGAACGAAAGTGAAGAGGCAGAAGTATGAGAGACCAAAGCTAGATGTGAGAGAGAGCTGGACCACCACGTCATAAGTGCGATAGGTAGAGGCAGGGAGAGGACGAGGTGAGAGACGATGGAGATAAAGATGCCCAAGAGGAGGAAGAGAGACCAAACAACCATTGTATATCTAGCATTAGATTAGTTGACACATATCTACCTAAGATAGGACCGAAAGCTCTCGAACTTATCATCAACACAAGAGAGACTTAACTCATCCATTAATCTCCTTTTGAAAGTTGGCACAGTGCTTAAGAATGGAAACAACTTTGATGCTTACAAGCAAAAAGTTTTAGGGGTTGCAATTAACCTCACAAAAACTTATGTTCCTTGAGAAGGTGCATGAAAGGAAAGTACGATGTTTTTCATGAGTCTACCCAAATAAGCCAATTCGGTTGAGATCTCCCAACCCTAATATAAACTTAAGTTCCATAATATCGAATCGATCGAGTTTCAGTCGAACCCAACCCGTTCACAAGGTTTTTTTATTTTTAAGAATTTTATATATTATATCGATTATATTCTTATTTATAGAAACAATTATAAATAATAATATTTGTCCTCACTAGTTTTTATATATGCATATTATTTTTATAGAAACTAAAAAATTAAAATTTCCTCTTAATTTCATAGGAGGATATATAAACACCATAAAAAAAACACTCATATTTTAGGTATTTTTCAAAAGGTATGCTCTCTATTTTTTTCCAAAATGATACCTTTAATTTGAGAAATAACCAAAATACCCTTCAAAAGTTTTTTTTGTTAATTTTTTCATTCATTTTTGTTTTATCAATTTTCAACTATTACAATATTTTTATTTAACTCGTTTATAGTGTTTTTCAATAGCATTTACAGTATTTTATTGATGTACTAAAAATATTATGAATATTATTAAAAAATACTATAAGTCACATTATATCGTATCTCTTTGGTTGTTATTGCTATTACAATATCATTTTGTTGAGCTTATAGTTAATTTGGTGGAGACTATGAGTCTATTTAGATTATTTATATTGTTTTCAGATAAGTTTTACAGTGTTTTTATTGTGGTGAGCAAAATACTATAACAGACTAAAAATACTGTAATAGGCAAAAACACTATAAAATTTTGAGAGATAGTTTAGGTATTTTTTAAAATAAAAGTTCTATTTGAAAAATAAAATAAAATAGAGGTACCGATTAAAAAAATCTAAAATATAAGTATTTTCTAAAAATATCATCGCCCCAAAAAAAAAATACATTCATTCCTATCTATCGCCCGAAAAAAATTGAATGAAGCTAGTTATTAAGAATTTTATATATTGTATCGATCGTATTTTTATTTATAGAAATAATTCTAAACAACATTATTTGTCATAAAAAAATAAATAGATAAACTAAACAGATATGTTGAGTTATGATTGTCACGAGCATATGCATGTAGGAGTTTTTATACATGTAAAATTATTTTCATTCTAAAACTATAAAGTTCAAAATTTATTCTTATCATTGTAGGAGGATATCACAAGGAGAAGATTAATTATTTATTCTTTCATTCGATATTTATTAATAATTTCTCTCTTTAATATGACTGAAATATCATGATATATCCACACATAATGAGCATTTTTTTTTCCCTTATCATAGAAATATTCCATTCACTATTTTCAATGAATAGAAGTCTTGCCATTAATTATTCTTTTATATCTGAACCATTTCTCTGCTCTTTAACTTGAACATCTCACAGACCTACCCATTGAAGTGGTCTTACCAAACACACCTGCAGTATTAGTTTTACATGTAGCATATATTATACGAAGGAAACAACACATCAACAGATGAGATAATCTTCGGGCAGTGGATTATTTCGTTGTACATTATTAATAGCAATTGTATCAGCAATTCAAACATAGAAAGCATGATATTCTAAACATAACTTAATTAAGACATAATGTTTGCTTGATGCTAATTGCTGACCTCAAAGTACTTTTTGCACTTGCTTGACAGGTTGATGAATCGCTCGTGAATAACTCATGAAAGAAGATGAATGAATGAATGATCACAAGATTCTCTAACGTATTCCTCGTCGCATCATCTCAAGAAGCTATAAATCACAAGAGCATGTCTTGGGTTCTCAAAAAAAAAAGTTCTATCACATTATGTCCTATATATCAAGTCCTAATGGCTAAATCTTCCATAATTATTAGCCAAACTAAGATTTGTAGAGTGTCATATCTTTATTATCATCCTAAGCTAATAATCGAGTGCATGGAGAGAGTTGTGTCCGAGTCGAACATTCGGGGACAAAGGAAGAGAGCATAGTACAAAATGCCAAATCCCTTTCTCTTCCACACTCAACCCATCATCACTGGTTCAAAAAACATACCTCCATGGTGTTTACACTCACTCGATAGCTTTTCTTTATTTATGGATGGGGACGGTACCCCTACCTCCATTTTCCCTGCACTTGGGGTGGGTCCCCTAAGAAGGAAGGACACATCTCCTCCTCCTCTCATCATTCAGAAGAAGAAAAGTAGGTGAAGTTCTTTTATATTGTAATTTGATCTCTTTTTTTTTTCCTAAAAATTAAAAACTTTATATATTAGTTTAATATCGATTTGGATAATTTATGGGACTCCAAGATTCCAATATGTACCATCAAATATAAGACATAACGATTTGTGGGTCCAATAAATATGTATATATGTATGAATGTATGTTTAACCATGCTTCAAAATAATGCCTAATTTTTCTTCACTAGATTTTGAATACATCATATTCCATTCACTAGATTTTTCTTTCTTTCTTTCTTTTCTTTGTTTATGCCTATCAGCACTTTGGTCTCTTTAAAGCACCTATAAAGTAATATAGAGGTCTTTAGAGCCAAAAGTAAAACCCAAATCTGTCCATTGGCCAAAATGATCTTTATTGTGATTATAAACAATTATCAGTGAGTATTACTACTCTTGTCACAGTATATATAGACTAACAAAATCTAATCATAATTTTCATATCCCTCATTATTAGTTAGATAATTTATGGGGAAAAAATCTTCACTATTGTTTTTTTTAACCAAATAGCACCTCTATTTATTTTTTTTTACTTGAAGATGTTAATTTTTTTATAAATAATTTAAAGTATTTATGAACCAAACACAATTTAACTTGTGATTTTTGAAGGAGGAGGTTTAATTGAATTGGTTCAAAACGATCCAATTTTGAATCCTTGAGATGTCACTAATGTAATTAGATTTAGCTCATAATTTTTTTATCATTTATAAAAAAAAATTGCCAAGTGAAAAAGAATAGGGAACAAAAATGCCCTAATGAGTGTTCACTTTCCTACCATTTAGAGATTATATTTATATAATTTTTCATTTAGGCTAAAAGTTAAAGTAGGCCAAACTTTATGAGTTTTCCATACTCAAAATTCAGCTAAACTTGGATCTTCTCACCTGTCTTTAAGATATAGACTCAATTGCAACCTAAGGAGTCGAAGATTGTGAGAAATAGGATTATAGCTAATAAATTAATATATAAAATCATTATAATAAAGCCCCTCTTAATATTTATGAATAAGCAAGTATATAGGATTGTGTTAAACCATTGATACCGACATAAAATCTTGTCAAATGTTAATTAAGAATATTATTTTATAAAGATTTTAATGATGAAAATAACTATACACTCGATGTCAAATAATTATATATATATATATATATATATATATATATATATATATATATATATATATATATATATATATATATATATATATGAATGATTGACTATAAATTTTAATTCGTATTAATATTCCTTAAAAACTATGCTAAAAATCTTACAGGCACTCTATATTTTTTCTATTTTTAATCCAAATACTCTAATGTTGATTATGGTTAGAAGTGATTAGCCCAGATTTTATGTTGTTAAATTATTTTGATTCAACTAATCATGCTAATGTCAGTCTTTTAAATCTCACCTATTTTATATATATATATATATATATATATATGAAGTTGCTTACAGAAACTCCGGAAAACAAACACTCGAAGAAAAGTGGATCTCACTTCACGTCCCCACGGTGGGGGCCACCGTCTCTCTCTCTCTCTCTCTCTATTTCTCTGCTTGTGTGTGTCGAAACCTTCCCCTTTTGACGTCCCATCCCAACCCACCTTGCGTCTTCCTTCCTCCCTCCCCTCCCGTTCACTGAATCACACGCCCTCTTTGCTCAACGCATCCCAACCACAGGAGATCACAGGGAGAAATCCAGCAGTAGCAACAAAACCCCCACCTTCTTTCTCTCCAACTCGGAAGCAACAGTATCGATCATTCACAGAGAACAACCAAGAAGAGAAAGAAGCAGTAGCTCAACCTCGCCCGGCATGGAACCAGGTGCCACGCACACACCTGGAGGCGCCGACGAAGGCCCTTCCTCTTCTTCTGCCACTGCCGACCCCACTCCTCCCCCTCCTCCTCCCCCTCAATCTCCACAACCACCACCTCCTCCTCTGGAACAGCAGCAACCATTAAGTAGGTACGAGTCGCAGAAGAGGCGAGACTGGAACACCTTCCTCCAGTATCTGAGGAACCACGAGCCCCCGCTGACGCTCCCCATGTGCGGCGGAGCGCACGTGATCGAGTTCCTCAAGTACCTGGACCAGTTCGGTAAGACGAAAGTGCACTCCGCCGGGTGCACCTTCTTCGGCCGGCCGAACCCTCCGGCCTCCTGCGCGTGCCCCCTCAAGCAAGCCTGGGGCTCCCTCGACGCGCTCATCGGCCGCCTCCGGGCAGCCTACGAGGAGAGCGGCGGGCGCCAGGACTCCAACCCCTTCGCCGCCCGGCCGGTCAGAATCTACCTCCGGGAGGTGAAGGAGAGCCAGGCGAAGGCTCGCGGCATCCCTTACGAGAAGAAGAAGCGAAAGCGAGCCCGTTCCGCTGCCGCCGCCGCTGCGGTGGAGGGGAGTTCGGGCGGCGGAGGGGAATCTTCGGCTTCAGCTCCGGCTGCGAGCGGAAGCAGTAGCGGTGGCGGTGGCGCTATCAGTTCGGTGGTGAGGGAGAGATCAAGCGACACGCCCGGTGGCTCATCATCCCTTTCATGACTATAGATGCCTCTCTCATATCCAACCACTTCATTCGAATGAGATCCAATGCATTAAATGCTGGTATGATCACATCTAACAAGAAGAATTAGGGAAGACAAACAGCACATATTAACAACACCGGGAGTTGCTGCAAGAATCGGAGAACTTGGATCTGCCTTTTAGGTTTCTTTCTCTGAACAGAATTGCCAACCAAGTTCTTCCTCGATTGCTTAATTCCTTGATGATCCTTATGATTCTTCCTCATCTTCTTTTGCTTGCTTTCGATTGAAAGCTGCTACAGTTCTTCTTTGTTGGACCTACTCGTGGATAGAAGTGCATATATTGAGAGTTCAATGTGAACAACTATTTCTTGATTACTCTCATCCAACCCTGACATTACTGACTAGTCTCTCTCTCTCTCTCTCTCTCTCTCTCTCTCTCTCTCTCTCTCTCTAACTTTTGCTTTAGAAGGGGAAAACATCATCTTCTTCCTCAGGTTTGGAAGAATGCAATGCAGTAGTCACATTCCACCGGATAGAAATCATCTGTGATGAATCATCGAGCACACTGCGAGGCTTCCTCTTTGAAGAAAAGAGAACTGAGGGCCGGGAAGCACTGACATCAGATTCCCATCTTGTTACTGTTCATGGTACGAAAGCTTTTCTTAGTATACATCCATTGCTCATAGATTAGTCACTGACCTCGGTCCTGATTCCCTCTGCCTTACGACTCCCTTTTCCCTCTTGTCTTCATGCTTCTGGTTTAGATTGCTTTAATGAGAGACACCGTTGGTGGCAACGAGACTGAAGCACACAACATGGAAGGATTCCCCGCACGAGCGGCACACTGCTGCTTCCCCTCACTCCATTAGTTCTTGCAGATTTGAGCACTGCTTGTGCTACTCATTCTTCCCATATACAATTCTGTCAAAGATTTGGGATCTGCGTGCAGTGCTGCTTCAGAACTTGGTAGAGATAGCCATCATCAAGCCATCAGCCAAAAATGCCACTAGCTTCCTTGGTTTTATCTTCCACTGGGCTCTTACAGTTCATGAGAGATTCTTGCATGTATATATGTTCCTCCAAGATAGTATTAGGTGGGGAAGTAAGCTGGATCAATTGAGCAATGGACTAGGGTTTGCCAAGTCATGTTTGATTTATCTGCGCATAGTTGCAGATACATAGTCTTTAACCTAAATGGAGGAGACCAGCGTATAGCCTAACGACTTACTGATGCTACTTCACTTGGGAATTCTTCACTGTTCACACACTTAGATACAGATTTCTTTGATCTCTCATTCACCAAAGCCATCCTCTTGGCTTTAAAGCAATTGCTGTTATTATTACACCTAAAATGTTAGCACAGTACATACATGACTCACCTATCTTAGATGAAAAGTTGAAACTTCACCCCATCAATTATGAGGAGGAGCCTATTAGTTTAAATAGTAAAGATTTTGTCAGTCTTAATGCAAGCAAATCCCACCTTCATCATTTACTTTTTTTACTTTTTCTTGCACCCAAATTATTTTCTATCCATCTTTTAGGATGGATTGGTTACAAGTAAAGACATGACTAGCACACTTATTTTTCTCGAGCTTATATTAAATTTGATTAATATCAATCTCATCTCAACAAGTATATAATCGAATCGAGGAACATCTTAAGATTCAGAGGTATAACTAGTAAATATGTTCATCCTCATGTAGACATAATTTATCTATCTTTTAGGGGGATTACACTTGTTTTTTTCAGTACAAGTATTTATGTGTTTTGCTATAGTGTCTATATATATATATAATATATTTATTTATCTATGTTACAGTAATCCTGAAAGGAAAACCAAACAGCTTATGGAAACAAAAGCAGCTGGGCAACATCATCATGGAGGTCATCCATCTCAAAGGAATATTTTAGCTTTAGAAGAGCAATAATCTTGCCTCACACCATCATGCTAAGCTTTGTTTGATATGGTAAAACGCTTTGTTCTCACCATGAGCTGATCCATCGTTTTCATTCCTTTCCCAAGTATTCTTCCTGTCTGTGAAGACCTAATTATTTCCATACCATACCATGGATTTATTCTTTATAATCCAACCACATTTGTGAACATTAGTGGTGATTGAATGAAGGGGATTTCGGAATTATTTGCGTGTCACGAGGTCCACCAAGAAATAAATTATTCATATAGTGGTCATGTCGATGATGTGGTTATGTCTTGACTTGATCTTTGATTGTTTTATTATATACACCAATAAGTCGAGTGCGCTTTGAGTTATTCCAATATCACACTTCACTTTACTTCTCTTCCCCCAATCAAACTAAATGAATTTACAGATGCAAATATGTGAGGCAATTAGAGGTAGTGCCGAATCCACTGATTTGTCTTGCACTAACCTCTCCAATCACCTACCTTAACCTTAGATAATTAAGGGAAAATTGTATAAAAAAAGCAACCAAAATCTTTTTTATCTGACAAAATATCTTTGCTAATATTGAAAAACTTTCTCTCTAATTATTATTATTATAAAAAAAAAAGTTGAAGTGATTGTTTTTATTTTCTTTCAAATTTGTAGGTACTTGATTAACCTCTTTCTTTATAATTTTAAATTTTATTGCAATATTTTTTTACCAGAGTCAAAGGCATCATTTATAAGCTTGCTACTTCAACAAGCTTCTAGATTTCATGTGATGTAGACAAGGCTATTATATTCATCTGATATATCAATACTCTTTTAAGAGTGTTTTGACTTTTGTTGAGTTTATTCATCATATTCTTCAGTAGATATTAAACCATCATGCATAGGTTTGGGTAATTCTTTGGACGCTAGAAACCAAGCTTCTTACACATCATAACAACTGTACATTGTTATGATGTCTATCGAGCATCAATATGGCCCATGTCATCTCTATTGATGACCTCGAAGTGTATCCAACCAATATCTTTGTGTACTTGCATTTCATTGTACATCTATTCCACATTCAAACGCTTCATCATGAAAGGAATTGATTCTCATGATGCAGAAGAGTACAAGCATTCTTTTGTAAACCTCTTCTCCTCCCTACTTCCATAATTGTTTTCCTGGAAGAGAGCTTCGAGAGTGCTCACCCTTCCATTCTCTTTGGTCATTGTGAGCTGAACTATGATGACCGTCATAACACTTGTCCGGCATCAACATTGGAAGCATTAAAAGATTTCTACAACTGTTTCAAGTGTAAACAAACATTGCCTGTGGTGTCTAATACATTAAGCTTTCAAGATTTAAAAGTGATTTAAGGTAAAAGATCTTTAACTATTTAATTGTTGTGATAAATAGATAGGGCCATGCATAATCCTGCCATGTAGTTTATTTCGATGGGTCAAGGATGTATATCTTGTTTAGATAGAGACTCAGAGCATTTTGTTCAACACCTAACCTTGACATCCATAATGTGGTAGATAAGATCAACACCAGTATGATCCAAGAGGTCACTAGTTTAATGATGCTGTATTCCAACATGTCACCTCAACTCACAGTATGATTCTTCCACCATCCAATTGCTTTTGGAGTAAGTATATAGTACAAAGTCGTGTTTATGGTGTGCTGCCAGTTTGTAGAGTGACGCGCCCTGGTTTAGGGGCTTGAGCACAGAAAAGTAAGTCTCTCATTTTTCCTCAAGTCTCTTTCTTACTGGAGGCACAATCTTGAGTTCCATCAGAGGGTGTTTTAAGCCAAATCTATTCATATCTGAAACATTTAAATATCTAAATGTATGTCAAAATATTAAATTTACCAACATCTAATAATAAAAGATGATGTTCAATTGATTTTTTTCTATATATGGTCTTTTAGCATTCATTATGTACATTCACTTTTTTTTTAAAGGCACTACTTAATGAGACATCCTACATTCCGAGCTGCAATTGCCTCTAAATGGACCCATAGAAAGAAATATGTACATTCTTCAAGTAACTATTTTCATATATTTTATTATTTTAAATTTAACAATTATTACTAGATGGCTTGGAAATAACAGAGATATGGTTGGCACAATTTACTTTCATTTCAGAAAAAATAGTAAGAGATGCACTGATACACAAACAGTTCAAAGTTAACTAAAAGAAGAAATTTCTCGGCATAGAATAGTAACAGTTTTATTATGTCAAATAGTCATACAGAAATTTGGGCTGATAAAGTCTTCTATCACCTTCCTTCATAAAATTTTAAGACTTCCAAATGACTTGCAACAAATTCATATGATGAGGATTTAAACCTTCAAATATAAACTCTCAACTCCTAATTGGTATACTTACTGAAACTGATCAAGATATGATAACAACGAAAGCATTTTCTACCATGTTCCATGATGGATTAGAGCATCAGTACAAGAAAAATAAGGGAGTCAATGTTAATGATGCTGATGATGATGAAGAAGATGGTAATTAATTAATCAAGCAGCAAAATAGCATTTTTAATATAAAAGGCAGCTAATACTTACTCCCATATGTTTTTACACTCTAACAAGATAAGGTTGGGGGTATTCCACAGCATCATACCCCAACCTTACCAAAAAAAAAAAGGGCAGATCTTTTCACATATAGACAAGAAATTTCTTCCTAATCGAAGGAAAAAAGGATCATTATTGAACCACTTAATAAGACCAACAGATGATTAGAAAGAACAACTCATAGATAGGAAATTTATATTACCATTTTTATCTTCATCTCATCATTTTCTACAACCGTCGAGGGTCTTATCATCTCACCAGCATAACAGGCGTGACCATTTGATTCCTTCTCCTGGTTGGTTACCACGGTCAATCCGGAGCAGGCATTTGGAGACTCTCCACTATAAGCTTTGCAAATGTAAGCTTCAAAGTTCTCATAATCCTGTAATGGAAAATGCAGTTGGCACATATGGCTATCAGAATATACAGGGGCATGGATATATAGGAGTATGTTAACTGACATCATATATGTCAAGAACCAAGACATTGACTTGATGCATCAATCAAATTTTGCTGAATGAAGAGAAATGGCATAGAACTGAATGAAATGGAATATTGATATACAAACTTGGATATTTTACATCAAAACAAGTTCATGCAAGGAATGACAGTGAACAACCTATTCTTGTAAGCCCCAGATATAAATGTACCCAAAATCAGCATAGGCATACTCCACTAAGAACATAACTTAATATCAATTCTCTAGTTTTTAACATTCCCAACATTAGAAACCTGTCTTCATGTCCAAAACACAAAAAGGATGAAAAGATCAAGAATCAGATACTTGCATACCCAAAATAATAGAGGCACCCAATTTGATCACAACCACTTTGTCCCAGATTTTTCGTAGATGGCTTATTCAGGTATATCTCTACTCTTTTCATTTT